ATCCACAGGAAAGTGCCATTGCTCTGGTCCTCACTGCCTGCTGCTTGCAGCATGCTATTTGCACAATATTGTTTCGCTCTTGGACAAGGAAGTGTGGGCAGTGATGCAGGTAAACAGTCTTCAGTCTCAATTGAGAAAGACTGCTGGGAAGCTGTTGTCAATGATACAGCACCAGCTCTGAATCCCTTTACTTGATCCCAATTAGAATGAGTTGAAGGCTGTGTCTGTATTGGCATGGGGTAGACACTGGCAGTTCCAGCTCTGGGATTTGTTTTCCATTCTGAAGGATGCCACACTTTTTCCATGCTGAACTAAACTGTCATGCATTCAGCCAGCACATGGGTCTCATCAAGTTTTAGAGATAACTTTATACCTAATCAAGCAACAGTCAGCCAGCCAGCCAGCCAGCTGATGCTGCCCTTCCAAATGGCACAGGAAAACTATCTATAGTGACCATACTGTGCCACCTTTCCCAGCCATATCGGACAATGGCAATTTTTTTATCTCCACTTGTATAAAATGTGCCTTTACTTTAAATCCCCAATGCATTTGATTTCATTTATGCATATTATAAACTACTTTATGCATTCTTGTAAACTACTGCTAAGGTTTTGGAGATGATGCTGTTTGTCAGGCAGGTACTCTGGGAAGATGGCAAGTTCCACAGTTTCCTGGCCATCCTCAGAAATGTCATTGCCAATAGATAATTAAAAAAAAGAAAAAATGAGCTGCTCTCAGGAGTTGGAGACCTGCAGGGATAACTGTGTAGAAGAGGTTTTGGCTGCATGCAAGACTTGTGTTTCTTTGACCAGGAAATGGGCCAAAACAAGATCTGTGGAATAATTTGTTTTCTTTCACATGAACACAGCATGATTAGGAGACATTCCTGATTGCAAGATTGCTTATATTTCTGTGGCTTTTTCTGGAGTGTCAAGACTTTAGTCCTAAGTGTTGGTTGAGAGTTTTCAGAAGTTAGAGCTGAAATTCTGGCATCTAATTTTAAGTGAGACTTCTGCCTTCTGGCCGCAAAGCATGTTAAGATGCTCTTCCTCCAAGGGAAGATTAAGTCCAAGTGACTTTCAGGCACATGTACAGAACTTACTATTTCCCAGGTTAGTGTATGAAGTTGCTTGAAACTAATGAGGACATGAGTAGCCCGAGGGGTGTTAACTTTGTAGTCTGGTTGCAGCTACACATTTTAAATAATGTCTTTGTCTAGATACTCTTCTCACCATAAAATAGCTGGTGAAAGGGGTGAATAGCTACTCTACAATTCTGTATGTGGACTGTAAAATCCATCTTCTTAGATGGTAGGAAAGTGCGGATGGGCTTTCAGTCCTTCACTTCTTCCTTTTGTTTCACCAGTGAATGCTGCATACAGAGTAGGTGGCTGAGTCTGAAGCCTGTCTCTCTCAGGCTATGATACCTAATTCAACTCCTCAGTCCTTTATTACTAGCTACATTTGCTCTACCATTTAATACATTTTCCCACGTTGTTACCCACTCTGCCCCACTGGCAACCAAAGAGACTAGAGAGAGTGATTGCTTTTCAGACAACTTGGAATAAAAAAAGTCTTTTCTCTGTAGTCCTGCTGCTTGCAAAGAAATGCACAGTGGACACAATGAGACTATTTGACATGTCAGAGGTCTATTTCTTTTTCTTGGAAAAACATCTGATGTTCCCCTGTTTGAACCAAAAGAGAACATACATTATCTGTGTCCTGCTTTCTATTTCTTAAACAATAAACAGCTGGTACTAGTGCTTGCCTTTAGGAAGAGACCCTCAGTAAGTTGAAATATCAAATCTTGGCTCTACTTAGTTGCCACGGTGATGTATAATTAACCAAGCTGCTGTAATGTTATAGAAAGTAAACATAAAGAAATATTCTTGCTAATGGAAAAATTTAAATCAGAGTTTTAAGTAAGACTGAAGGGATTGAAGATTAAATTTTAATTGATCATTTGCAATTGGACGTGTATGTTTGTATTTATATTGTAATTTGATCGAAATAGTATCATTGTGTGGTCAGAAAGAAATTAAAATTAGTTTGAAAGAAATAAAACAGGGTTCTGAGACATGTTATTGATGGTACAGTCTTAGTAAGAGATTGGTGTTTCATTGATTTGTGGGGATTTGGGCGGGTTTTTTCCTCTCCTCATTCCTAACAGGACTCTATTTGAAAAACAATACATTTCCCCACAATGTATCCAATAAGGAATGAATAGAGAGGAAAAAAGTTTGATTTGGAACAAATGGGAAATCAGATAGAGGCAAACCATTCAATGTTCACATCTTGCAGCTGTTATGCAAGCACCTTTTCCAAGCGGTTATCATACAGATGCAGAGTAATTTGTTTGTCTAAATACCTTTCTTTAAGTGGTAATAGTGAAATTATCCTAATATATTTTAAACCAAGAAAGTTGAATGTGCCTTTGGAAGGCTACACATGCCAAAAGACATTGATGTGCAGTTCCCCAGATTCATACAGGAGGAAGTTTCAGTCTGTTTGTGAGGTTTATGAGAGAGACGAGTTTAGGTGTGGGATGTTGTTAAAGAATTAAAACTGTGCAGCGTTGTTTACGAGATGCTCATGTGCTGAAATGTGGGTCAGGAGCAGTGGGATAAAGATTATGTACTTTCGGAAATCCTATTCCTTGTAGTATCTTTAAGACACACTCTATGTGCAGGAGTGTGAACAGATGTAAAGCATAGGGGCTGCTCAGTAAAACATAGCTGGGTAGAACCATGCACCTAGGGAAAAGGATTCATTCTTTAAGAACTTTTGTTGGTTCCCTGCATTTGGCCAACTTGTTCTCAGAACTTTGTTTTAGACTCTGAAAGATATTGCTAAAATCAAGACACTATGTGTACTTAGTAATAGGCCCTGAGAAGCTTTTCTGTGCCTTATCTTTTCTTGATAAGATTAGTGTAATACTTTCTCTTCTAGAAAGCTAAGAGTAGTAAGTGACCTTCAGCTTGTTCAAAACTCTGCCACAAGTACTGTCAGAGCATATGTTACTGATTAGAGCAGCAGTTCACCTGCTACATCTCTTAATAAAAATAATTCTATTGCATATTATCATTTAAGGCCCGTTGTTCTTCACCTTCAAACTTACTTGGTTCTCCTTTCAAATTTTAACTTTACAGTGCTTATATGGGCTCCATGTGCATGCCACCACTGACTTGAGCAGAAGACAATGAAAGTTGCTCGCTTTGGCACTGCAAAGTGCTGAGCACTCTTGGCTTACGTTAACTTCTCTGACAGTGGAGGGTATGCAAGGAGTGCGTCTCATGGTCAAAGCTTGTTTGCCACACACTACCTTGAGTAGGAAGATACTATGAAGAAAGAACCTGAACATGTTCCTACCCCTTCTGCTGTAACTTAGGATGTTATCTTTCTGCTTTCTGAATGACTTGTGTTCACTCAGAGTTGCATCCTGTGATGAAATTAGCATTGGCTAAAAATTTATTTCTTTCTGTCATTTTGTAATTTCTTGCTTTTCAGTTTGATCAAGTGAACTTTTAGATTGTGTGGCATAAAAATGTGCATAGAAGTACCGATTAATTTCCAGTAAAATGCCCAGTAGTTCCTACACATCGTGTCCTCTTTCCTTGCAGAGTAGGACATGGATTCATGAGGGCCCCCTCCCGTTTGAGCATTACGTTTAAATAGCAGCTCCTGAAGTTACAGTCACTGTCAGATTATTGATAGGAGGATGGGAAAGTTTGGCATTTTGATTCAGAACACAGGAAAATAAAAATACATCACAGAACAAGTGGTTTTGCCCATATTTGCAGAAAGAGTGCAATATTTCACTGATGGCAAGGTCTAAAGTTATGCTTTCCCCTATTTGGCAAGGCCCCATTGAAAAGGAGCCACTTCAGCAAAGCACCAGTGTTTACTATGTTCCTTAACATCTCCTATGAAGCGTTTGATTGTAAAATTAAAGCAATCCATCCTTTCAAATTTAGTTTTTAATATTTGTTTGGTAGATCTGATCTGACAAGAGGGCCCAGTACCCTGAGCAGCCATGCTTTCTGCTGTCTGACCAAGGAATAACACAGGAGTGAGCTGTGAAAGCAGCTTCTTGCCTCCATCTTTTCCGCAGGAAACGCATCGGTTGTTGCCAAGTGCAAACACTGATGTGTTTTCACACGTTTAGATTGCTTTTAGGCAGAAAATTGTTGCAGATTCTAAGTACAGTTTTTGCAAATATGCTAATACTCAGATAAAATTGGCATTCTCATGGTTCCTAAGAGCCTGTATCGAAATCCTATTCCAGCTGGACCGCAGAATGTCAGATAGCTTTCACGTTACATATCCTGTATATTACAAAGATTTGCTTGAAGCTCAGGACTTAAGAAGCGTAACACAGAGGGACTTTTGTACAAAGCTTGAAGAGTTAGTCCTTGGTCTTTGGCCAGGAATAAAGAATGCTTGCCCTTGTGCCATTTTGTCCTGTGCTGCCCCAGTTCTGGCAGTGGTTCTGCTTCAGTGTAATTGTTGGCACTGAAGCTCAGCTGAACCCTGAATGGCCTCTTCCTGCAAGCAAGCAGGGGCGCAGAGGTCCGAGACAGCATCAAAACTCCGTATTGATCAACTGTAATAGAGGACTCTATTATGAGAACTCTTCATATCTGAGCCAAGCAAATTGACTACGGCGATGCAGTAGTGAAGTACTAAAAAAAGCCATAAAGAGTGTGAAGTAATTTTCAGTTTTTCCACGGGATAATGGAGAAGCTAAAAGAATATGAGAACAAACAGCTCCTTTTGGGACAGTCACTGTTTTGGCTATCTATCTGCAGTTGTTGTTGATCTCTCCTTCCTATGTGTGCTAAGTAGTAGTTGAGTTTTTCATTTTCCTCTGAACCAGACACAGAGCGTAGTCAGAGCTTTAAGTGATAAAAGTGTTTTTTATTGTTTGCAAAGGCTTGCTTACTCTTCTTTATTCTGCTTACTGTTCTTTAAAAAAAATACTTTCCCATTTCATTGAGGCAGATTTGGAAGTCAAACCAGAAACTTCAGACTCTACTACGATGGAAAGCACTTTGTTGGGGAGAAACGTTTTGAGTCCATCCATGACCTGGTGACAGATGGATTGATTACTCTTTATATTGAAACGAAGGCAGCTGAATACATTGCCAAGATGACAATAAATCCAATTTATGAACACATAGGATATACAACTTTAAACAGAGAGCCAGCACACAAAAAACATATGCCAACCCTGAGAGATGAACATGATGGCAAAGAGTCTACAGGAGAGGATGAGGTAGCAGAAAAGAGGGTAAGCAATTGTTAACCCACACTCTTTTTTTCTGTTAGATTTTTTATTTTGTACTTTTAACCCTCCCCCTCTACTATAAAGTGCTAAAGGTATCTGTAGATATTTAGTCTACATATTTATTTCCAGTATTGCATTAATAGTAATATTTAAACTGGTTATAGGGGAGTTTAATGGTAATTTTTGCATATTGCAAATTTCTGTGATTTGGAGGTTAGTTATTTATCATTGTGAGGTTCCTTTCTTTAGGTATTTTCACAGTTACAGATGTTACCATTAAGCCACTCCTTTATTTCAAAAGGGCTAAGAATATGTCATCTTAAAGTTGTTTACAGTGTACAAGACAACTGCCTTTTGGTCAAAAATTATATTTCTTAATATATTCAGCATTTTCCAAACCAATGCATTCCATAATCTATTCAGCAGTCTGCATACAATGACAGTGAAGTTGTCCACATTATAAATAAGCCTGTTCATTAAGTTGATAAAATGTTAAAACATTTCACTTGGCTAAGTTCAGCCTGTCAGAAGCTGACAGAGCTATTTTTGGTCTCAGCCAGACTTATGAAGAAGGATTGCTCTCTTCAGAGAGTTGCAGTATCAGCTGAGAACTAACTGCATACTGGATTATAAAAGAAAAATGAACAACAAAGAAATCTTGGAACTGGTGAAAACAGAAATATTAAAGGAGGTTTGGAATGTATCAGGCAGACAAAGCAGCTGCCTGAAACTTCATTTGTGTGACAGAAACTAAACTTAAAAAGAAAACATAATGTAAATTCCATCATGTTAAGCTAAATACTTTGTTTATTGAAAAGCTGACATATGAAAGTCTTTTTAAAGTGTATTTTTGCATATGTGTAGGTGTTCATGCATGTATTATAGTCTGATACGCTCCCCTATTTCACAAACTTCAGAATGATTTTAGGAGCATCTAATATGCTTATAGTGCTTAGAAGAAATGCTAACCTTAGTTGGGATCGTCTGTTCGTCTTTCCAGTCGGAAATATGTCTGTGATTCCAGTTTTTCTTGAGGTGGAGGAAAGATCTCACTGACAATTGCAACATACGTGACTATTACAGTGAAACTAAGCTTGGTACAGCGTCCACAGAGGGAGAAGGCTCTCATAGCTTTGGTCCTTCAAATCCTTCTCCAGCAGAGTCTGTCATCTTGCACTGAATTTGCTGAGATGAAGCACCCAACTTAGCTTAAAGTATGAGTCTTCCTGTTATCAGGTGGTTTTGACAAAGGAAATACTGGTGGGGATCTTGAAGCTAGCTGACCAGGTTAAATATCTGATTTCTTGCATGTTAGGCACCAGTCGTAGAGGGGTGATTTATCAGTTACAGTTCCTGACAGCCACTGACTTGCAGCTTGCTGTTTCAAAAGGATTTTTTTGCATGTTATCATAGAGAGTTCATTATAATGCAAAGCCTGGGTAAAAATCTTCTGTAAGAGTTCTGGAAGTCACAGCTTTGGGTTTCTTTGGTAAAATTAACTCTTCCTGCATTTAGCAGCTTTTAAGTGACAACAGAATTCTGTTCTGTCACAACATTTTTTAGACTGATAAAAAAGCTTTCATAGTAAAGAGATTTCAATTATTATTGAGGAATGCTGGTTTTTGTGTAGATCACATAGTGTTATGTCAAACTCATCAACAAGGTATACATACTGTTTTTAAACATTTTTTGTGAAATAGCTCAAGAACTATTAAATATTTCTCACAGATTGAAATTTTAAGATGAAAAACCTTTAGAGAGGTTAGTCATGTAATTGCAACATCCCACCCCATTTGTCTAGAAGTTACAAGCAACTAAAAGTGGCTTCACCTGCAACACAGTTCAACAGCAGTGGTGTTTACTGGCCTGAAGCCCAGCTTTTGAGCTTTTTCTTTTTATTTGTCTTGGAACCATGTTGATGTGAACACAAGGAGGCACACAGACATCCACAGTATAGTTAAATGTGGAGAGTTCAGTTTAATTTTTGAGTCAATATCCAGTTGGGATTACTACCTGTGGCTGTGTGGGGAAGGCACGGTGTGATCGTTTTTACTGTGGAGTGGTGCAGAGGTGACATCTTTGCTGGAAGATGACACAGAGAGTGCTGAGTGTCGCTTCACCCAGCAAATCTCCAAGGAGAATAAAGCATTCAACCCTATGACCAACACCTGATCCCAGTAGCAACCTCAGCATTTGGAACAAGCCCCAGCGTCCAGCTAAGGCTTGCCAAATCCTTTTTCCCTCCTCTGTAAGTCACAAGATGTGGGGAGCACAGGAAGGGGAGAGAAACAGTGGTGGCCTTGCCAAATGTCTCATGGGCGGTGGTGGCTGTGTGCAATGTGGGAGTGGTGGCTTGAGGAGGCCTCGGAGGGCTTTCCCGAGTGCCTGCCGTCACTGTCTGGGGGACTCGACTACTTGCACACCCACTAAAGCTATCACCTTGACAGCCTGGGAGAACTGTTTCAGGTTCAGTGGGGTGAACATAATCAACTGGCTGGAGGACTGTACAGGCAGGTGACTGAATCACATCTGGTGGTTAACTTTATTTAAAAAAAGAAAAAAGCAGCGACACATGCTTGTTTGACAAAGAATTTGCGTTTAAAGCGTGAGTACTGGATGACAGGAAATATTTCTCTGGCTTTTTTAAAAGCCTACCTACTATAAAAACTTGACATGCTAGCAGTGAGGAACACAGGAGAGATTACATTTCCACTTAAGCAGAAGACTCAACCTCTCTGCTAGTTTATAAGCTTTTTTTGGTAAAATAGTAATAATGAAATAAGAAAAATATACATATCCTCTGCTAAATTGCTCAGAAGGGAATTTTACCCTTTTTGTGAAGGTTCCTGCTTCTTGTTGATATTACTTGAAAACTTCAGTAACATAGTGTTTACCTTATTATAAATCATTTAACCACGATATAAAGAAGCTTTCTTAAAGGACATTTAATAAATAGGTCAAGTAGTTTTTCTTTCTCTTGGTGGGAGGAATGGCCGAGTGATTCCTGTTGTCTAATATAAAGAGAATATCACTGAATCACATTCTAACAAAGAACGCAAAGAAAATTGTTCAGAATCCAACAAGAGAAAAACATTATCTTATGATCCAAACAGCAAAATCTGTGTGCTACAACATTAGCCCATTAGCCCCATGGTGAAGATGAAAATTTCTGTAGGATACGGTATTTGGCAATTAATGTGTCTTTATCAGTTTTACACTGTAGCCACACAGCTTTCCCCTACGCTGTATGCTTTCTCCTCCATGAAGAGAGGATTAAGTCTGGGTCTTGAACGTTGGTCATCCTGAGCCAAAATACATTCCCAGATTTGCAGACTCTGAAGCTGTTCAGATCCAAATCTGAACTTTGAGCCTGCGACGTTGCCCAGTCCTGTGTGCGTGGTGTATGAAAGATAAATCCTTCAGAAGAAGGAAAGAAGAGACACAGGCTCTGACTGGGGAACAGCTGGTGGGAATGTAGTTTTGCTTTCTGCCACAAAATCGAGTGGAGGAAATTGGGCAGCCAGAGAACACACCCCAAACTTGAGAATGAAATATTAAAGAGCATTTCACTTAGCCTTGAATTTGCTGTGGAGCAGTAGCAGGGAACGCCACAGACTTGTGTTAGACACCTCCCAGCATGCGCTAATAATACTTTTATTTGTTCCCCACTCTTTTCAGCAATTAATTTATAGTAGAAGAATTCAGCATGTGTTGGGTGACTTGTCATATGCAATACATTAAAAATGAGCCTTAATAAAGGGGAAGGATTTAAAGACAGTAAAAGATGAAAAGACAAAAATTATGCAGTTGTTAGATGAGGATTGTAGAACACAGATCACAATATTACTAAGTCCTGAGTCCTGCAAGAGACCATATTGTGATGTGATTTAAGATGCAGTTTTTAATAGGAAAAGCATGAGAATATAATCCACTGTGCAGCATGTGCTTCACTGATTATGAAAAGGAATTTGACCACTAACCATATGCAAGTATGTATTAAAGATTAAAATTAAAATTCCTGGTAAATTATTTATTATTTTGATAACCTATGAAAGAATTAATAAATAGTCAGAGATAACTGGTGGAGTGGAGATTGAAAACAGGAGAGTGCTTGTCATGCTTGGATGCCCTGAATAGATATTTTAGCTGCTGTGCTAAAAGGATAATGCTGGTTCCCAAAACAGTCTGCAGATTGTTCAGAACTCAATTGTGCAACTATCGTGGTGTGTGTGTGTGTGTGTTAGAGAGGGCTAAGATTCATTTGAAAGAGGGCTTCCCATGTGGATTCAGTCTGTATGGCCTAGTGTGGAAGTGGAAATAATACCCAGTATCACAAGATTTACTATTCCTCCCATGCCTTGAATACTGATGGATCTTTGAGTGTTCTCCACTCTCAGAGGTAATTATGGCCTTGGAGCAGATTACTTGATTCAGTTAAATACCTTATAAAAATGGTAGCTCTCAGAAATTAATGAATACCTAGATACATATATCAAAGTCCTTCTTGAAAGCCCTGCAAAACATGATTATTTTTTTATTTTGACATGCTTTTGAGCTATTGATGTAAGAAGTTGTATAAGTGATTTATTCAAGTTTTGATATTTGTTATGAGAAAATTAAATAATTAGTTATGAGTTATTGCTCTTTCAGAATGAAATGTTGAGGTTAATGTTAGGATAGCACATTTATTCGTGTTTACTTTGTTGATAAGTGCTGTTTCTTCAAGAAATTTCAGTGGCTGCAAATCAATTAAAGACCCCTTCTAGACTGTACTACATTCAGTTCAATTCCTACAGATGGATAGAGTTGAGAGAAGGTTTGTGGCAGCAGTCACACAACAAAAGCACTCACTTGTTCTATTTTTAATGACCTTAGTGGTGATACCATTTTTTCCTCCATAGCGATGAAGGCTGATTGTCTGCAACCATGTGCAAGGAGATCTGGAAATGTAAATCTGTGTCATTTTAGTAGGAAACATGCTTTTAAGCCTGCCTCCGAAGAGA